AGTGTTTAGGTTTAAGCTAAAGCTTCTAGACAGCTTCACTATCAAGGGAGAATAAACAAGACCCTACACAAAACTGACTAATTAAGGAGGGTGAACTGCAGTCCTCAGCCCCATGCAACTCCGGGGCAGGCTGTAAGAGGGGCTCTTTGTCCTCAAACTCTTCCAACCCTCCCTTGTTGCAAGGTTGCCTTCTCTCTTGTCCAGCCTTCCACACGCTTCCAGCATTTTGCAATGCTCCAAATTAAGGACTCTGCAACAACTCCCACCAGCGAAGAAACACTTTGTGAAGCCATCACAAAGCAGATGGCCTCAGGAATTCTTTTTCCTAAACTGTTGTAAGCAACAGGTGCAGAGCWCAGAGCCAACAGCTTGCCCTCTTTCCCTCTCTTCATGCCCACGCTGGTCCCATCACCAAACAAAACAACCATAAGACATCAGCAGAGCTTCTTACTTCACATGAGGAGGCCTCCAAATCAGACCCTGCAAAATTCTGCTCGTGCACATCACTGCAGACCTACGCCTCYCTATAGGTGTCCCCTCCACCTATAGGGAGACTCCAAGTGCAGAGGGGAAACTAAAACACRCACCAACAGCGAGCAAAAGGTAAATACAAATAACTGGGGTTGGGAAAATACTCCGCTAGCTACCAATTCTGTCACATTAATGGCAATAGGACAAATCTTTCAAAGATACCAAACCACTAAAACACTTAGATTAAAAACATTAAAGTTTAAGATACCATTCCGCAAATAGTTGTGCAGGTAATCTTATCTAAGGGAATGATTTTAATAGAAGTGTGGTATTTATACCTGTTAATATTTGCAGGAGATAGAGCAAAGATTAGCTAAACGAGTTAGACATACATGTCAAATGGCCACATATATTTTCCTGGATAAATTACAAAATTGTAATAAACCATTACAATCAAGGGCATTAAATATCTCCCTCTTTAACTGACCCTTCCTTCTTTCAAYATTACACATTTTTATGTGTATGTTGTTTTTCAGAGATGCATGTCTGCACTTTTCTTTCTTTACGGAAATGAATATGCTGGTACTTAACTAACTTAATGCCTTCATGAAAAACACCCTAATTACTCTAAAATGACTGTTTACCAAGTGGAACAACATCTAAAACATTTTAAACACATTCAGAATTCTGACTTAAAAATTCAATATAGTCCAGTCACAGAACACATGTAAATAATATACAATAGGTCTAAGTCAGAACTGTCATAAATTTCAACTGACCGTGACCAGTGAAGACTGCAACAGTGGAACACGGGAGCACCAGCCACAGAGAGCCAGTATGCCAGAGGAAAGCAGTAACTTACTTCCTATAGTTTAGACTCTCTCGTAAACAGCTCAGTCATGACCCATTGAAGGAGTAATTTCCAACTTTTTCTGCTGAGCCTTTCCAACACACAATACCCCTGAAAAGAGACCCCTGTTCCATCAGTTCCCCATCCTTCAACGAAAGGCAGTTATCTTCTTTCCTCCTCTTCCCTTCTCTCCTCTTAGTAAATGTTTGCTTTTCGTTTCCATTTTCTTAGTATTTTGCTTCACTGACTGTTCCATGTATCATGGCAAATGAGTACCTGGACACCAACTGAACACCAATAGTGGCTTCTTATGCCCTCATGAGAGAGAAASCAGTAGAGACCAACACAACAACCATAGGAATGAATGTATAAGAGACTTTTTCTATAAGAGAATTATCAGAGACTTTTCTCACTCTCAAATTTTTTTTGTTAGATGCATCATGGACAAGCTGAACTCTCCCCTGCAAACCACCACCACATGAAGAAGCACAACAGAAAAGTGCTCTCTCCAGGAGATACAGCATCCTGACGTATATGAATGTAACCCAGCCCCACACTCTAAGGCAACTGCTTCTTATAGTAATACTTTAAAAAAAAGGGATCTCTGCATTACTGCAACATCTGAAAGGACCAGATTGATAATTGGATATTAAGTCTAGTTTTACTTAAGTTGTAGTGAAGAGGCTTGTCCTCCACTGTGCAAGATAAGGGCAAATGAACATGACTACTATTAAACATCTGGGCATCTTCTCAGTATTTTAAAGAGTAGCATGTAAGCAAATCATCGAGACAGTTTCAGATTACTTTGCAGCTRGCTGAGATAAAAGTTTCTGGACTGCAGTATCAATGGACGAATTTATTTCGTTGAAATTAAAGCTTTCACTTTAAATCAGAAAGAAAACCTGCAGTCTAAGCTTCCCTTCTACTAGCATTCCTACTAGCATAAGCACGCAGTTAGAGAATGAGGGAAGCGAGATCAGAATCAGGCTCGTAGCTTCCCTTAAGAAGCAAATGTCACACAACGATACTTAACTTGTAGTGTCATCTGAATCTAGTTTAATAACCAGAAAATAGGCTTATGACAACAATAGTATTTGAAAATGACAGTATAATTAAATTTAAGTCAAAGCTATGCAATGATGGACTGTATGCTTATGTGTAACCAGCAAATTACATGCTTTTAAGCATGTCAAAATTTTCAAGAGAATTAACCATTGCAGTAATTCAGCTGAAGAAATGATGATAGAAAACAAACTCCCCCAGGTCATTTTTTTCAGCTACTCCATATTATCTCATATGATGCAATACATACTTTGTGCTTTGGACAGTTTTTCTAGTTCCTACTTCTGTAAAGTGTAATGCCTTCCAATACCATTCAAGGGCAAATCAGGAGTATTGCTTCATTAGCTTTAAGTTTTAAAAAGCAACAGAAGGGACTGTGTGACTATGATGAGTAATGAATAAGGAAGTCAGTCTTCCCTCTCTCTGTTATTAGTTCAAGAACAGTTAGTTAAGGCTGGCCAGTCATTCCCACCAGATGTGTGAGCAATGCCAACACAGAATGAGTGGGCAGTTCCTGTGTAGTTCCTAGCTGCTGGGAAGAGAAAAAAAAAGAGGGAAGCTGCAGAAGGGGCCTCCATCCCACCAAGATAACCTTGAGGCTGCAGAGGAGGACTCTATCTGTGAGATCTCCTTCTCATCATTACCCCAAGGCAGTACACTTAGCCAGCAGGAAATACACAGCCCTTTCAAGAGAGCAGTTTTGGAAAGCACTTGTCTTGGATTTCGAGATCTTTGCTGTTGTTTCTGCGCAATTCTCYGAGTTTGTACATCACCTACCAGGGCAGCGTTCAGTGCTTACGACTACTGAAGGAGTTTACAGCTGAATCGCATATTAACTCCCACTTTGTGGGAAAGTGAAGAAAATTCTTTACTCTCTATTATTTTCTCAATTGGCAAAGCATTTGCTTTAATAAAGAATAGCTTATAAATTCATGTATTAAAGCAACGTCTGTGGCGGGCAAAATATACTTCCTTGAAGTTAAAAAGGAAAAGCTCTCATAGCTCATATTTAAATACACTAAAGCTAATCAATTCATCCTGCATGCAAGTTTCCATTAGACTTCTAAAAAGCACAAAACAGGTCTGTAAAACATAATTAAGGCAAAATACTGCTACATACAGCATGTAAAAATCAAGACTACAGCTTTTATTTCATTTGTTTTGCAGGCTCATTAAAATGTTTTTCTCATTTAAATGTCTTGATCTGTGTAACTGTATTTATATGAGACAAGCAAGGAATTAAATTAAATTAGTCCTTATTTAAGATGCATTTGAAACTGTCTAAAACTAATGTTCTTAGTCAGTCCCACAATTTACGAATTAGATAGCTGGGGTGGAGAGGGAAAAAATCCACTGATGTTAGGAGCTTTTAAATCAGACGAATTAACACACATTTTTCCAGTTACATTCAAAAGTTCCACTAGCTTTTACACCAGAGAGCTGCCTGGAAAGATCCAYGATTGGAGATAAGTGCCTCAGACAACACCTCTACCTCTGGCGAGGGAGAAGGACGGACAGGAAGAGCSGTGAACCCAACTCCCAGCCCGGCTGACCCTTGGGCCTGTGGAGAGGCCTTCCCGCTTCACGGGGGCGCGAGGGCTCGGCACCGGCACAGCCAGCTGCCAGCCTGGGACTTGGTGGGCCTCGTTCTGGGCACCCTGCCACACAGACACAGAGACGTGCCGTGGTGAAGGAGAGGCACACCGTCCAGGAGACAGCGCTGGAATCACTCCGTCTCCCTCGGCAGGACTCCTCACAGGCCTCAGCGCAGCGGCCCGTGACTCAGGGCTCAMAGGCAGCCACTCTCTTGTGCTTCCTCCTTGTCCCGTGTCTCATTTTACACTGATGTCTCTTTTCAGATTGTCGGAAAAATAAATAAAAAAAGCAATGTATGTTGTTGTCTACAATATAGTTTTCACTCCATATCATCGCCTGTCGGTGTGTACAATTTTGGGTCTTTCCTCTCCATCACCAAGGCAGGCATATAAGAATCCACTTACTCTTATACAGGAATATAAGCATATAAGAATATACAGCCATATACTGAACTATACATGTAAGGCCAAAAGCTTGCACGTGGGCAACAAATTATGTATGTGCAGAGACAGAACTATGGCTCTTATCATCTTATAATAATCTGTCCTTCCAGTTTCCTTAGAGGGCCAAAGAACTACTATAAGAACACCCTCCACATCATTAATCTGAGCATGAAGGCTCAGTATAACTGCAGTACCTCCATAAAAGATGCAAAGTGGAAGGAAAATCTACTCTACCTTCTGATATACGGGCTCTAAATATAGACTGGGAACATATGCACTGTCAAGACGATGATAAAAAACACACATCAGTGTGAATATTCCACTGAGAATGAGAATTAGTGCACTAACACAGGGAGGCCTGCAAGACTTAAATTTTTGAATTGCTTTAAACGCAGGTGACTTTTAATTAATGGCAACAGGTTTTTCCCCAAGTCCTCATCACTGATCAAAAACAATTGTAGAAGAGCTGACCTTTTCTCATCCCCCAAAAAGAGGGCATCATCTCTAAGTCAAGAATCRCATGATTTATGCTTAAGGACACAGRAAATGAAGATAATCAGAACATCTTAGAAGAATACCATTGAGAAGAGGTTGTCCTCCATGCACACTCCTTGATACAACAGCACTGTGAACATCTTCAGGAAATCCAGTCTTGCATGACATGTCTTCACAAGTTGCTTTTATTGGTGCCTGAAATGCAAGATGAGAAATTATGTAATATTTGCAACCCTTAGTCACCAAAGAAACATTCCAGATACTATATACCCGATTTTGCTGCTATCTTGTACAAACAGCTTCTTTGTTTCTAAATTACTCCAATTAGAACTCTGAGGGCAAAGGGTTAATCTTTTTGATAACTGGAATGGAAGAAACAAATCCCATTTGTCTGGTAAGATCTAAATAATACACAATCTTGGTTCTTTTAACAACTGAACATTTCAACTAAAATAGTCATTGAAACTGAAGTGGAATCATAGAGGGAACAAAAACATTCCTTCCTCTGGAAAGAAACGTAGCACAAAACCAATTGGCAACTTTTTCACTGCTAGACGTATCTGAGAGGGAAGAATTTATCCACTGATTTAAAATGCTTTACTTTGCGTGCTTCTACGTGCGGTTGCACCAGTACAAGCAAATTTAAGATAAAATGCTACATTTACAATAATGTAAGAAAAATAACATATTTGCATTAGCATTCAAATAGATACCAAGTAAAGTCAAATGTTTCCAATGCAACTCCATCTATTTCAAAGGAACGCTGAAAAGACAGAAGCTCATTATTAAATTTGCACAACGAGGCACAAGACTACTGAAACTGTTTGTTCTCTCACTTGTTAAGGAAAGCTTTTCTCAAATCACACACAGTTTTTAGAGTTTCATAGATGTCTTTCATTAAAAAAAAAATATAGGATTTGGAATTTTTTTTTGTTCTGCGCTGTTCCATTATTATTCAAAAGCCTTTCGATATCTAAGCCAGTTTCAAAGACAATTTGTTGCTTTGTTAATACAAACCAAGTCCAATTTCCTGCACCAAAGGGCTACAATTTCTTTTCAGTGGATTGTTTTTGCCTCATTTTAGTGCTGCATGAGACGACAGGCCAGTTTACATGTGGTTAAATGCCCACAGGTGGCAAAACCCCTTTCACACGGTACCAGACAGAGATCATCGGCCTCAGCTGAGACAGGTAAGCAGAAATCTTAAGAGCCCTCCCATAACTTCACAAGYACCTACCCACTAAGGCCTGTCCATGTGTGTACCCAGACGCCAGTCTTTGACAGACTGAGCAACTCTGAGGCTCCACCATACTAAATCTGATCAAGATTCTTAAACTAGATTTTCCTTTTTACTTTCCCAAGATGGGCTATCATCAAGTAGGCCTACTCAAAGCATGCCTGCATACACGTACCAGAATAAGCTCTACAGGGAAAAGTTTAAAAAACAAAAGTAAAAAGGATGGATGAAGAGGACAGGACAGTGTTACACCCATTAACTAGTTTTCACAGAATGCTTAATGAACACAAGCTCCTTCCCTATGCAATGTCTACATAGCAGAGAAGGAACCTTCTCCATCACCAGCTGTGGTTCTGTCACCTATTTGAAAAGCCAAGGATCACTAGGCCTGGAGGTTCAGCACTGCAACATTACACCTGCACTCAGATCAGCTGCAGGGCTCAGGYGAGCTTCGTAAATTGTTGCCCATAATCCACATCCTCCCTGCAGGTTCATCAACATTTTTCTACCGAAATTTATCAGGCACACAAAGATCCATAGCTGCCACCTTCCATAGCCCGCTCAAAATGGCTCAGATTTAGCTTTAACTCTTTCAACTGTATCTCTTGTATGAACTGAGCTCCTTTCTGGTCGAGCCAGGCTGGGGAGTGCTTATCCACGCCACCACGGTGGCAGATCTGAGAAGGCAGAACGCCTTGATACATGGCAGCCATCGCCAGCTGGAGGCCCAACAACAGCAGGAGCTTTTCCACTGGGAGCTGCCCGTAAAGCTGAATTTACGTTGAAGATGAAAAGTATAACTGCAGCAATGAAAAAAATATATGCTTTCACTCTGTTGTCCTCAGAGTGGGGCAAAAATCTCAGAAATAAGGGCATTACAGYGGTCATGGAACAGTTGCTTCTCAACCAGGATTGGATTTCCTGTGCTTCCTCCCTCAACCAGGGCCAGAGGCTGAAGACCACTCATCCCACTGAAACAGAAGGCCAAGCTCAGCCAACACCTATAATAACGCCAACACCTATAATAATAATTTTATCATACATGCATGGAGGGGCTTATTACACATTCAGCTGCATTTAAGCCAACCTGATCCTAAATGAGTGATTCAAGTGTGAAGAAAATATATCTACAAATTCATCAGCATACTTCAGATTTAATTTTAGTAAGTTTACTGTCTACTTCAAACTTACTATGCTATCTGGGTAAGCACCTAGTAAGAGAACTTCTAATTATCAAGTGTCCAATTAACTTAAATTGTGGAGTAGCTTTCACTGCAACTTAAGCACCACACTGCTCACCTGTGTACAACTAACGATATATTTTAAAAGTTTTTGATTGGAACCTTAAAGAGAAAGTAAACACGTAATGGAAGAAGGCAACAGTTTAGATTATTAGGAGACTGTGCTGCGTGCAAAGCTAAAACTCAGATATGTAGCCAAGCCTCAACACTCAATTAATTAACATGATGAGGCTTTGGTGTTTTAAGATAAAAGGGTGGTAAATCCAAAACCTAATGAATCTAATTACTTGTTTTCCCCACCATTGGTATTCAAGTCATAGGTTTTACAAGGCCTACATGATTTGAACAAATAGTAATATGACCTGTTTAAACTACTGTATGAAAGGTGACCTCAAAGCAAATGTAATAGAAGAAAAAAATATCCTTTCATAATATCCTAGAAACAACAACAGCAAAACAAAAACAAAAAAAAAAAAAAATCCTGGGTGGGCAAGCTGAGGAGATAACAGGATTTTAACAAGTCTTCACCGATGCTCCTGGGAATCTTTCAGGCTTTCCAGCCATCTATATGTACTAAACAACTCTTATAAAGTGAAACAATGAGCACTGAAACAAAGACCTGGGGACATGAATAGAGAGCCTTCTTTATTCTTTCATTTGCCGCCATCAATTTTCTCCAGAAACAAAAGACTGTACTCTGCTCTCCAAAAACACTCCTTTGTTGAGATTGTTTGAGAAGAAAAACACAAGGGAAGTAAGAATTCAAGTTTTCAGCAATTCTTAATCACCCCGCATTAAGCATTTTAAATTAAGTAAAAGTTGTAGCTTCAGACGAACGGGTCATATCTAGTTCAGTCTAGGAGTACTGTCAGATTTAAACCATTTTAACTCTCGGCACAAGGAGGAAGCTAGACTATTTTTATCTTTTTATCTTGGGCAAAAGGGGAAGCCTAGTGAAGATTATGGGGCACATTATTGCAATTTACAGGATTTTGTGCGATTAGTACAGATCCCAAGACTATTTCAAACATAAGACAATATTACTTGCACATTCATCTACAGAGCACTACTTACAAATATCTTTTAAGATGGAAAGCAATTACCTTCACTTGTACCCATATAAAACCTACTTAATGGAGTTAAAAAGCTTGGAACAAGGTCAGCACTTGAAAAATTTGTCTGTGGAGTACTAACAGACTTCACCAAGCAAGATCAAGAGTTACCTCTGAATAACTATTTTGCTTTCCTGACCCTTTCTACCTCATTCAAATCACCTTAGTTATGCAAAATGAATACCAAGCACTACCATCTCCAGGTGCTGAAGAACCATAACACTCAGTCAAATGCGGTGTAAAATCAGGCAGATAAACTCAGTATTGTAGATCTGAGACAAAATGTAACTGGCAAACTGCAATCATTAAGGTATATGATGTAAATTACAAGTCCTCGTCTAGTCATGTACCCTGTACATCCTCAGTTACATTAGCTTTACATCTAGGTATTTAAGTATCTGGAAATCTGTGGTCTCATTTCAAGGCTGTATGTTCAGCTTCAAGGCTCAGTTTACAGAAAAAAAAAAAAGTTGGAAAACTTAACTGTAGAGTTTTATGTTTATGGTTTTTTTCATGTTTATGGTTTATGGTTTTTTTCTCTAAACAATACCAGTATGACTCTCCAATCCATATATACTTCATACTGCGGAAAGTTGGCATATTAAAACAAGAATAAAACCAGCCAGGATTGTACCTTGCCTTGTTTATAGTTCTAGATTAATCCCACACTTAGAACAATTCTGTAAAGAAGCATCTCCTTAAAAATGCAAGCCTGCCACGTGACTTCATATCATAACACACATACCAAATTTGCACAATTGGGCTCTTGGAGTAAATATCACTTTCAAACACAGTGGGTCTAGCTCAAAAGTAACACTGAACTTATAMAGACAGCTAAGATTGTGTATCGCAGGTTCAATTATCATCCCAGTACATAAAAAAAAAAAAATCTGTGTTCTGAAATCAAAACACTTCCAGCAACTCAACATTATGATAAGTCTAATTCGAAAGTTTAACATACAGAGGTTTCCAAAAACCAAAACTAGGGGCATAATAAACTATAGCTGAATAGCATCTCTTTTCTTTGCTAAAACTGAGGAGTTATAAGAAAGAAAAGAAATAAACATAAAACAAAACCATAGCATTAGATTTCTTAATACTGACTGTATCAAAATGCAAGAAAAGTTGTTTTCAAAACCAAACAACAAGATTTTTTCAAAACAAAACAAAAAGATTTTTGAGTCTTCTTTTTGAGACGGCTTTCTTTTATGSTGAAGGTGGATTACTCCCATAGGGATTTAAAGCCTAAGTAGTAAAATCAGAAATGGAAGAACGTGCATCGGAGGAAATATCCTGCTGCACAGTTGTAATTKGGCACATTGCAACTGCTAGTTGCAGATTCCTGCCAGCTTGCAGGGCACTACTGTGTGAAGCTCTATAGAAAGTCTTACATAATTATCCGTATAACAGAGTACAAACTGGGTATATTTCAGGTCTTTCTCCTTAATAAGCAACATTAATTTACTAATGTGACAGTAATATTAAACATAAGCGCTGATCACAGAAACACCACGACTGTGCTTAAAGATTTGGATGTTTCCTCATTAATTTTGAGGGCCAGCACTGTACCCAGCGTTCATTCGTAACTTACATAAGCTSATATTGCTCCATCCACTTTTTGCTTTGCATATATACATCATCTGACACAACGGGACATGATGGACAAGGTGAGTGTTATTTTAGGACTGGAGCTTCTAGTTACTACCATAATATGAATAATATGAAAGATGCTCTGCAGGATCACAGACACAGCTGTGGAATGCTTGAGGGTTCAGCATCTCTTTATCACCAACTTACTGAAAAGGAAAGCCGCAACRTTTGTACCTTCATGGGACTCGTGGCCCTCTTGCTTATGCTACTCTCAGAAGCCACTGAATTGCAATTTGTTTCAAACTATGGATGGCAAAATAAGAAAAAGAAAAATGCCTTGCATTCAAATTTCTGTCCCAAAAGCAAAGAGATTCCAAAGTCAACAACCACAAGATTTTAGAGCTAAAAAAAAATTACTTCTTAGCCTGTTAAAATTCAGACTTTCCCAAAATAACAGAATCCACAAAATTTATATTATCATAGGTTTAAAAAATAAATTGCCTCAAACCACCGCTAGTTACCATAGGTCACTACCCTACAATTTAGAGACTCTCCAAATCTATGCTCAAACTCTCTTGCCTTAACCCCAAACATGAAAGAAAYGGACTCAGCTCACTTGCTCTACCACGCTCAAAAACTGACACAGCTGATACAACACAAAGCTGCTATCTAATRTAAAGTTTTCCCTTCCTGCAACTAGGACATGGAATGTCG